CACGTAACTCTCTCAATCCTTACCAAGCCTAAAATTCAAAAATCAAATAAGGAAGTTTTGGTGTCAAGGCTGAGGTTAGTTTCTAATGACAAGCCTTCATTTGGTCAGTGACCATCAACCATTATTATATTTGTGCACTTCATGTTTGGGGTGTTTGAAGCATTACAAAATTTCCGTTTTCCTTTCTCTTACTTTTTTTTCATTTAAGCTGTATACCTGTTCTCACTTTCTGGTGAGGCATGCAGCGGCGTATAATGAGCCTGTTCTGTTTTAAGAGTTTGTTCGTTAAACCGCATGTAAAACTCACTGTTCCTTGTTTAAGTATCAGTCATAATATGCTGTCGTCTTACTTTTTTAATGGAAAATCTTAATGAACAACAGGCGTTTATGACTCTTTGGACAGTAGTCGTATCAGCACCATTTAAAGTGGTTTGTTGGGGTTGTAAATATAGAATGTTACTAAATCCAAGGTTGCGCAAAATGTATTGGTTCTTTTTAATAATGAGTGTGAATAGGAATTGAATTTGCCCTGCACCTCAGGAAGTTAAATTGTAAATGAATTGACAGGAAGATGAATTTTAATGAACTGGAATTAAGTGCAGTCACACATGGAGGGTTTTGCAACAAAATAAACAATTAGATCATGTATTCTGATAAATTGTACCTATACGCTATCAAAAATAAAGCTTCTAAAAGGGTTTTCACTACCAAAGAAGAACATTTTTTGGGTTCCCAAAGAACCTTTCAGTGAAGAGTTCTTAAAATAACTATTTTACACTGTATATAACCTTTTATGTAATAGAAGGTTCTATATAAAGGGATAGTTCACCCAAAAATGAAAATTCTGTCATTAATTACTCACCCTCATATCGTTTCAAACCTGTAAGATCTCCATTCATCTTCGGAACACACATTTAGATATGTTTGATGCATTCCAAGAGCTTTCTGACCCTGCATAGACAGCAGGCTCAGAAACGTAGCAAGGAGATCATTAAAATGTGACATCAGTGGTTCAAACGTAATTTTACAAAGCTACGAGAATAGTTTTTGTGCACAGAGAAAGCAAAACAAACGACTTTATTCAACAGTTCGTCTCCTCTGCGTCACCCTATAGTGGCATTTTGGAGAATATCACATACGTAAACAAAGTATGCTGTTCTGTGTCAGCAGCATCGTACGCGGATACATTGTTTACATTGTTTATGCTTTGATCTGAACCTAAACAACGTATCCGCATACATACGTCGTTTACATATGTGATACTCTCCAAAATGGCGCTATAAGGGTGATGCGGTGGAGACGAATTGTTGAATAAAGTCGTTATTTTTGTTTTCTTTGTGCAGAAAAAATATTCTCATAGCTTCGTAAAATTACGGTTGAACCACTGATGTCACATGGATTATTTTAACAATCTCCTTGCTATGTTTCTGAGCCTTGATCGTGTAAGGATCCTAGCTGTCTATGGGAGGGTCAGACAGCTCTCAGATTCCATCAAAAATATCTTAATTTGTGTTCCGAAGATGAACGAAGGGGTTTGGAATGACATGAGGTTGAGTAATTAATGACAGAATTTTCATTTTGGGGTGAACTATCCCTTTAATGGAATCATAGATGCCAATAAAGAACCTTTATTTTTCAGAATGAGTATGTCACCCACATGATGAATTTAATTTAAATTAAATTGGTGGTATTTATTTCATTTTAAATAATGCAGAGCACTGACTCATGCTCCACTTAATTTCCAGTAAGACACCAACTGCATCTGCTCTTGTTACATTAGCATTTTAAGAACAGGAATGTACCTTATACCCCCTTCCAAGAACTTGTAATAGCTTACAATCATAGGCATCAATAAGAGAAGGCCTGTCTTAATGCCAGAAACCTAAGAGAATTATAAACATTAATACAGAGCTTGACAAGAAGCTGTCAGTCTGCTGGGCAAATGCTGTAACATGCTGAGGAAAAGGCCCTTTCTTTCTCATTTCAACGGACTTCAAAGACCTTGGCAGCTGCAGCCGACTCCTGATCTGTTTATATAACTGAGTCCATAAAGGGTTTAAGCTTGTGCTGCAAACAGATCTGAGGTGTTCAACACTGTTCCACGGGCCTCGGGCTCTTTTGTTTGGATATGTTTCACACAAAATGCTCCTCAACTCTGAAGAGCATGAGTGATCTTGCTTTACCTCCCTAACATTGACAATGTGTCTATTCTACGAGGGCAATAGTTTGCAGGGCATGCCAGGTTTCTGCGTGCCGAGTGCAATTTTTTGGAGGGTACTTTTCGGATGAGCACAAAGTTTGTCTGTTCAAAAGTGACTTGTGTATTGTCTTTCACATCTCCTCCCCGGAGTGCAATTAATCACAACATGAGAAAAAGACATCAAAGCAGTCGCTGTCATGTTTACAGAGAGAAATTTTATCAGTCGTCTTTTCTTTTTTCCACTACATTTTTCCTCCTGCCTACAAGTCACAAAGAGTCAAACATATTGAATTTTGATGTTCTAAACAGATTCTTTTTTTTTATCTCTTTCTCTCTGCTCTTTCCTTCAGTTACAGATGTCAGAGTGATCGGATTTCTATCTCTTGTGGTTGCGGACACACCTCAGGGGTTAAAGCTGTTCCCCAGAACTTTCCGAAACCCCAGTGGTTCAGTCATTTCTCTTCCAGTGACTCCTGAAACATCATTCAGCATTAACTGCTGCTTGTGATGGGATCTGTCATCCAGACCATGGAGGGAATAAATAAGTCATTCGCCAATCCTAATACAAAAAAAAGAAACTCAAAAACGAATATTGTAATTTACTCATCCTAATTTTGTTTCAAGACTTTCTTTCTTCTGTGAAAATACAGAAGAAGATATTTGATAGAATTGTTGTCCATACAGTGAAAGTGAAACCTGTTTTGGACCCCCAATGTGCTAACAAGATAATTAGCACTTGCTGGAAAGGAAGCAATGACTCATTTTTGATAGCTTATCATCTGTTATGTACTCTATTGAAGTCTGCAAATACAGCACAGGAAAATGCTGGGTGGTTTGTTACTTTTGAAGGTGAATAGTTCCAGTGTTATGTAATACAGATTACATTACAGATCTTGTACCATCACTGTAACTGATCAAGATACCTATTGACACTCTGACTTTGCCGCACAACTTGAGGGAGCCGCGTGTGTGTGTGCACGCACGCATGTGTGTGTGTTCAGGGAGTGGAGCGTGAAAGAAAATCTGTGTGCATTTCCCTTGGGTGGGCTGTGAATGTGACAGGCCTGTAAAAACCAGCACTGGTGTTGCATTTCAACAGCTGTCTGTTTGCATCAAACATCTTTTCTGAACCTAGTACACAACAGGATAAGATAGATTTCAATCCTCTTGCAGAATTCAGTAACATTTTATTGGACAGGCAACAAGCATCCCTTTCTAAGAATTGTTTCTATCTAGTTTGGAACCGTACTTTCAGGCTGGTTCTTTATTAGTTCTCTTTGCTGTGATGTAACCGTTGTGAAATGTTGGCTAGAGTGCATCAGCACATGTAGAAAGACGTGTGAGCTTTTCTTACCCCACTTAACCCTGGCATAATGTCCTTTTAAACCCCAGGTGAAGGCTGGTTTTTACCAGGTTATCCAGTGATTCACACTTCTATTGACTTGACAATGATTTATGGAACCTGAATGGTAAAATGATGCACTGTGAAACACTGTGATGTTAAACGAACAGGCAACCAATCTAACGCCTCAGTGGTTACCTTAATAAATATTCATGCACGTTGTATATTCACACAAAAACAGCTGCTGCGTCTGAAGGGCCAGGCTTAACCAGTGCAGATATGCATGGTAACATTTCTACTGATAGATAATGTTGTACTTGTCCAATCTATGTTTTTAATCTCATAAATATGCAAAGAAGCATATTAACTTTACGAATCTCAAATCCTGACTTTCAAAGATTAATTACTAACCCAGAATAACATTGTGAAACATGGATTAAGTGTTAAGAATAATGACCTTTGGTTAACCATTTCAAGTGAAAAGCCTGTTGAAAGTCAGCAGTGTATTCTTTGAGCTCATTTTCCCTTCCTGGCAAAGTTGCAGGTAGAAGGTGCTTTTATTTGTGCTGTATTGAGGAAGCCATTATAGTTTCTTCCTCTGGGGAGGAACAACTCTGTAAATCCTGTCATAACAGAGTAGCAAGTAAATCAGTATGTAATAATTTCTGAACTTTTAAACGACTAAACTCTTGGCATACCTTACCTCAGTCATGCTGCTAAACCAAGCTCAAAATGTCTTCCTCGGCCTTGGATTTCTCTGAACTGTTAAACTATCAGAGCTCTTAAAGGTACAATTGATTGTAGCAGAACAATCTGTCCTAGTAGCCTTCACAAGTTTCCTCCACCCAAACAATGTTTTTCAACATAGCTTTAATTATTAGCTTACTGCTACAACTAGGAATGCCATTGCCAGCTGTAGTGTCACTCACTATAAATAAAACTTTGTAGCTACTGATTGATCATTCTTATCTAGATCTATAATGGAAAACTATTATCGTGAAGCAACATCCAAGCACAATATTGCTTTGATACACAGGGGTTCATTAAGCGTATGCTGTGTTAGCAAATGGTAGAACATCATTCTGCTGGTTTTATGGTATTGACAAGGCAAAATCATTTCCGAGGTTTCCTTTTATCGCTTCCTTAATGTGATTTATCAGGTTTGCAGTCAATCAATGCTCAATAAAAAAAAACAGAAGTCTTGAGTTTGGTTCATCCTTTCTTTGTGTGATCAGTTATTTAGTATTCACACGGTGCACTGCATAATCCATATTATCTGGGTTTTAATGTGATGCAGTAGAAGCTAAATCCAGTTTGATGTTAATTTGCATTAAGAAAAAAGGAAAGAACTATTCACAAATGACTACAATGTGTTCTTTCTCCACTCTGATGAGTTATGCAGGTTCAAAAATGTTTTAATAAACCTCTTTATTTTTTCTCCCTCTCTCTGTTCTGTAGGAGTGCATGAGTCTCAACACGAAAAGGTCCTCAGTGTCACTGGGGATGGAATTATTCAAAGTCCTGACTTCCCCAACACTTATCCCCGGAATACAGTTATAGTGTGGCGGCTGGTGGCAGTCACAGAAAGTTCCAGGATCCAGCTGACCTTTGATCCTCGCTTTGGCCTGGAGGATGCCGAGGACGGCATTTGCAAGTAAGAGACACTGACCTTTTGGTCACTGGCAAGACCTCACATGCACATTAGGGAAAGACAATATCTTAACATGTGTAATGTAGAAGACAGACAGTAAAAGAGTAAATAAAGACCGTTAAAGACATTTACATTACATTTACTCATCTTGTGGCTTTAGAAATCAAAATATTGTTGTTTTTTTTTCATATATTTTAAACATAATTGCCTACAGTCCACATCATTGTCATCATCATCATCATTATTATTATTATTATTATTAGTCACATTTATTGGTCTATTTACCAACATTTTTGGCAGTTGCATTGCATCTTGCTGTTTAATTTTTGGGGGAGGAGGATTGTCACTTCATGACATGGCATGTTTATTTTATTTTATTTTATTTTATTTATTTATTTCAGTTAAAGACATTTACATTACATTTACTCATCTTGTGGCTTTAGAAATCAAAATATTGTTTTTTTTTTTTTCATATATTTTAAACATAATTGCCTACAGTCCACATCATTGTCATCATCATCATCATTATTATTATTATTATTATTAGTCACATTTATTGGTCTATTTACCAACATTTTTGGCAGTTGCATTGCATCTTGCTGTTTAATTTTTGGGGGAGGAGGATTGTCACTTCATGACATGGCATGTTTATTTTATTTTATTTTATTTTATTTATTTATTTATTTTTTTATTTTTTTTCTCATGGCTGTGACTTTCTAGTACAAGTCAAAGCTGCCAGTTGATGTAAACTGGCGAGTTGCAATATAGAATCAAGACTGGACCGAAACTGTATAGTGAGGAGGAGATTTAGAAGATTTGAGAGCTTGAGAAATTCCAGAGTGTTTCCTTTCAGGCACTCAAATATTTGCTTAGTGTTATGCGACAAATCAGCACTACTAAACAAGCAGCATCAGGCATCCATTGCACTCTCTTGACAGGGTCAGACGTAAGATAAAGCACCCATATACAATGCAGCGGTATAAGTGTATGTGGAGAAGGAGGGGGAATTACAGTGGAGATGTATGTGCTTGTTGTGACCGAGTCCATTTTTTAAGATTTAGAGTCGAAAGGAGGCCATTTGGGAGATTGGCTGTGCTGCAAGAAGGCTGATGAATAATGAAAAGCCCACCCCTAGTGTGATTATGTTCAGTTATATATTTATTTTTTCCATGACTGATACGATGACATAAAGAAACAGGCCTTTCTACTTTGTGCATATTTAGTTCCTAGTCTCCTATGTAACGGTCGCAGACGTACACTCACACACAGTGTAGGTCACACACAGCCCAGCCAGCCAATCCACATTAAAGACCCTTTCAATTACAGGCTAGATTTCCTTCCAGGCCTCTGTCCATGCCTCTGTTTTGCTGTATAGTGCAATCGATTGCAGACGTGCACATCTGTGCATTTCTGCTTCCCAGAATCTAGATGATGACCTTCCCATAGCTGGTGGTTTCATGTGGAAAAAATGTTTGTAGACCTCTTCCAATTATTGATAAATAATAATGGTTTTCTAGCATATTCTGTCTTAATTAATGCCCTATTGACTTGTACACATTACCTGTGAAAGGTTCTTCATTGTCTGCAAGCCTTATGTGTGACATACAGTGTTACAGTAAATCAGTGTAGTTTTATTTGTCAATAATCAATTACATAATGTGCTTGTTTGTTAGCAAGCCTTTGGAGTCTTGCCAGCTATGTGTGTAGCCCCTCCTAGTGGCTTCATGTTAACTGCATTTGAACACTTATTTTGGTTAAAGAAATTCAGCAAAAAATGAAAATTTGCTGAAAAGGTACTCATCATCTTAGATGGCCTGAGGCTGTTTCTTTATTGCAACAGATTCTGAGCATTTGCATTATATCACTTGCTCACCAATGGATCCTCTAAAGTGAATGGGTGCCGTGAGACTGAGAGTTCAAACAGCTGATAAAAACGTATTGTATTTTATTGATGTAATGTAGCAAATGTAGGCAGATTGAATGCTATTCTGCTATGTCTATACTTTTGCCTTTTCGTTAACATTATCCACTAGCATATTAAGTGATTTCAGCAGGAAAACACAGTAGTTTTTACACCTATTTAATCTTCTCAGGAATGTGTATGAAGTAAATGGCATCCATTATTTTTTGATGTTGGCTTACAAGTATAAATATGCTTTATTCTCTGCCTATAAACATACAGTATCATACAGATAAGTGAACATAATACGACAGAACCCTTTCCTAGTCTCCAACAATGATGCTATAAATCTGTGCTTGCTTGTCCACTTTGTTTAAATCACAGGCTGTGGCCTTGAGGAGCAAGTGTAGGGTTGGTGTTTTTGCAGTGAGTTGGAGTGTATTTGACCTGGAAAGAGTTTGTGTGTGTGTGTGTGTTTGTGGGTTTGTGTCGTATGTTTTATATACTTAGCAGCCATGCAGTGACAGGGGTCTGTATGATTGCACCAGCAATAAATAATTTAAAGGGGTCATATGTTGCTATTTTAAAGATCATTATTTTGTGTATTTGGTGTAACAGAATATGTTGACATAGCCTACATTAAAATCTGTCATATAAATTGGTCTCTTCATTAGAAATTATCCTACTGATTGCCACTATTGATGGACAAAATGTTTTAATAATATTAAAAATATCTGTATGACATTATATTCTGCAGTTCTTCCCTGTTGTACCGAATATCTATACTTTTCAAATTATCATATCAAAGATAGAAATTTTAATATTGTGACAAAATTAATTTTGTAGGGTGCCACAAGTTTGTTAAAATTTCCGAAGGGTGCCGCGACTAAAAAAAGGTTGGGAAACACTGCTGTATACCATGCAACTTATCCCTTCACAACTTCCATGCCGTCCTCCTTTTTTAAATAATTAGAGCAACCACATATTGAAAAGCAGTAAAATAATTAATAGACAGTTGATGAAGAAAAAATCCCCTTCTGTTTGGATTGAATCAAAGCAACTGGGCTGGAATAAACTGTAATAAAGCTGCGTGCTGAATCCTATCACACTGCCTCCAGCAAAGCCCAGCCCAGAGCCGACAGGCCACTACAGACAACTCTCATCTTCCTGTCTGTTTCTTCAGACTGATAAGAAAACTGGGCCAGATTTTCTGTGCTTGATAGAAAAATTGTACAATGTTGGTTCTGTCTTTGATGAAAGGCCGAAGGATGTTGAAAGGTAACATAAGAAATAAGATTCAGTCATCACAACTATTAGGAATTGTGATCAACAGTACATCATTTAATGTATAGAAGTATTTGTCATTGAGGTTTATGGTGATAGATAAGGACATTTATCTCTACAGACTGAATTGTAGAATTAATAATCATAATAGTTTAATCTAGTTGACTTTCTGATACTGTGGACCACTGACTTGAATAAATGTAAAATTCACGAAAAGCACCAACATTAAATAATATTTTGTGTGTAACAAAATAACATTCATTTTTAACATTAGTAATATGTGCTTCCGTTGTGTTCTGAAGTTTCCTAATGAATAAAGCATGTTGAGGGAGAAGTGTTTTTGTTATGAAGCACACTAATGTTTAAAAGTTTGGGGTCAGTTAAATTTTTTTATTTTTTTTATTAAAGCTTTTCAGCAATCATTCATTAAATTGATAAAAAATGACAGTAAAAACATTGCATAAAATTTATATTTCAAATAAATGATTTCCTTTTCAACTTTTATATCCTTTTATATATGAGTTTTGAAAAAAATGCATCAATGTTTCCACAAAACTATTAAGCAGCACAACTTTTTTCAACATGTATAATAATATTAAGAAATGTTTCTTGAGCAGCAAATCGGCATATTACAATGATTTCTGAATGACCATGTGACACTGAAGTATAGAGAAATTACGCTTTGATCACAGGCATAAATAACGGTTTTCTATTTAATATATTTTAAAACATTTTAAAATTGTAATTATATTGTATTATTATATTTTGGCTAGGGCTGGACGATATGGCCAAAATTTATATCACGATATATTTCTTAATTTCGGTCGATACGATATAATTCCGATATCGATATGAACACTATTTATCTGAAATAGAAATCTTTTGTAACAGCGATACATATTGATATTGAATTATTGTCCAGCCCTAATTTTGGCATAATCTATAGCACTATTTCTCTAATATGATTACTTTACATCTTTTGCATTCGTTTAATAACAGAGAGAATGATTAAGCTTATAAAGTGGTGTTGGTTTGCAATGCTATTAGCTGAAATCTCGTAATGTGGCTTGTTTTTAAGCATTCTGTTTAAACATTAAAAAGGATTCAAGACAATCCAGTGTTTCGTTTTCTGATGCTGTGCCATATTTTCTAAAAGATATCAGCGGTGCTTTCTTGCTTCTGTCCTACTTTAGCTTCTGTGGAGTGAATGTATGCATGTAAACCTGGTAATAGTGAAATCACATTACATTATTGATGAGCCATCTGCCTCGAGTGTCACTGGGATGAGGTGAACCCCTCTGCTTTGTGGTCTTCTGAGCTAGAACAGAAACGCAGACAGAGTGAAACATGGATAGTATGTTGTATTCATTAGCTAATGTGTGATGTTGACAACATTTACTTTTGGCTAATTGCAGTTTATATGTCGTTTTACTTTGTGAGCACAAAATAATTATATTGACCTTCATTGCAGAGCAATTGGAACTTAATGGTTTTCTTCTACACCTACAGGTGCATCCGTCTACATAGATTCATAAGAGAGCTTTCAGCCCTCAGGCCTTTTTTTCCTGTGTATTGGTTTAGTGGAAATCAAACCTGGATGTGTCGAAAATCAGGGGCTCAATGTCCGTTTAACCAGCAAGTGTGTCTTTTTTATTTCTTTTTTTTTAGTGCAGTGCGTGATGACCTGTTGTTTTAATTGAATGTGATTTGAAACTTTAGTGTCAGGCTGGGCAGAGAGTAAACAATTACTCCAAAAAGCCAAACGGCTGTGCTGGCACGTGAAAGTATTCCTGTCCAATCAAATGATTAGTACCAGGCTTTGGCTGTGGCCACTGAAACCAGCCTTTATTGAACACTGCAGGAGCATTGAGGCCATGCAGGCAGAAATAACACAACCTCATCACTGCTGTTTTTTCTTTTCTTTATTAAAAAAAAATGTTCAGGCCACTGTGTCCAGTCCAAGTTGCATCAAAGACTGTAATTTAGGGCCTGAAAGAAGGCCATGACAGACAAAAGGGGTGAGTTCACTTAAGTTGCGCCACTTCAGAATGTGGTGTTTCAATGCAAAAATCTGCAATACAGTTTAAAAAAATGTATACTTACACCTAGTTAATTTTTCTGTTTTAAAATCATTTTAAATACAAGTCTAATAGAAAATTTGGCCATTGCACCAGTCCTCTCTGTCAACAGATCCTTCAGAAAAGATCAGAATTTATTTGCTACAGTACCCAATGCAGATTGATTTTACCACTTGGGAAAACCACTCTGATTTTTTTGAGCATCTTTGCATTATTGCATACATTCCTTTAGTAAATAGGGCACTAAAACAATTAGTTTATAGACAATTTAAATAAATCATGCTATTATTTTAGAATGTGCTCTTCATTCTTCCCCGTAATTTTGCTGTATGGGTTTTGAGGTACAGTATATGTGTGTATTGAAAAGTTACTGTGTAACCAGTTAAATTTGTTCAGTTTTTTGTTTTTTTGTTTTGCAGTAAACTTAATTTTATATCATTTGATTAAGTGTGATTTCCCTGAAGCATGTGTAGTACAAAACAATTTTTCAGTTGCTGAGTGCCGATTTGGGATACCTAAATAGTCCCAGAATCTAATATGTTTTTAGCCGTCATAATAATAGATCGATTTAGCTCTCATGTTCTCTGTGGACATAAAGGTGATTGAGATAATACATTTAGCCGTGCTTCGGCTCGTAGCTTATTCAGTTCATTAAATGCTTGTGAGAATGGATTTCTAGGTCACGGCTATTGTAGCTTATGAAAAGCCTAATGCGTTAGCATATTAGCTTGAGATCAAATACAGATAAATATAATTTATGAGCTTACATGTCTGTAGCCCTCCTTTAATCTTATTCACTCTTCACTTATTCCCAAGCATTTTAGCTCTGTTTTTCTCTCAGTATCCTTCTTTCGTTTTTCCTCTCTCTACTTTTTCCATCTTTCCTCACTGCCTTTGTTTGAATGTCTGTGTTTAATAGTGTCTGTAAATAAGCTTCATTGCCATAGTTCCCTGTGGAGCCCCTCAAAGCATTAAACCTACACTTAGATGCCCCGTAGCCTTCCCTCACACCGAATGATAAGAGACAGTGTTGAATTAACCATGTAGTTGTGACACAACAGCGTTAAATTCCCCTCAGATCATCTCAAGCTAGTAGTTTCCCCGCATCCAAGCATGTGACAGGAGCTGGTGGCCAACAGGAAGGACATGATACTGGATTTATGGAAATTGCGATGAGGCACACTTAGCATCAGGTGCGCATTGTCACATGCTGTTGGCGGGACTGATGTCACGCCCCTCCTCTGGGCTGCTGTCATGAGTCCTCTGATACAAATCTGAGTCTCTCTTAACAAATACAGAGAGCTAATTTCTTTCTAGAAAGGACATAAAGTAGAAAATGTAAATATAAATAAATATATATATAATATACACTGAACAAAATTATAAACGCAACACTTTTGTTTTTGCCCCCATTTGTCATGAGCTGAATTCAAAGATCTAAGACTTTTTCTATGTACACAAAAGGCCTATTTCTCTCAAATATTGTTCACAAATCTGTCTAAATCTGTAATATAACAAAGAGTGAAAAATTTAAGGGGGTCTGAATACTTTCCGTACCCACTGTATATATATGTGTGTATTTACGTACAAAATGTTAACCATTCTTTTATGCCAAGTTAACACTTCATGATTTTAGCGCCGATTTTCACTCGCCAACAAGTTTTTACGAAATCGCCAACAAATGCCCGAAATCTGAGGCAAATCAGTGCTCGTCAAGTCATCTTGATTTTTTAGCTCAACTGTCATTGAGCTAAAAGAAATTTAACTGATAGGATTGTTGGAAATCATAAGTAGTGAGATAGGTGTCAAAAATGACCCTTCAACTTTAACGTTATTTTGTCAAATTAGCACAAGTAGGCTTAGTGTTATTCTTAATAGGCCTATGTCTATGTACTGTTCAAAAGTTTGGGATCTGGGATTTTTTATAATGTTTTTGAAAGAAATCCCTTATTCAACAAGGATGTATTTATTTGATTAGACACAGTAAAAACAGTCATATTTTGAATCATATTATTACAATTTAAAATAAATATTTAAGCCATTACTTCAGTCTTCAGTGTCACATGATCCTTCAGAAATCATTTTAAAATGCTGATTTGGTGCTCTAGAAAGCATTTTTTATATCATCATCAATGTTGAAAACCGTAGTGATGCTTTATATTTTTTGTGGAAACCGTCATACATTTCAGGAATCTGTGATTAATAAAAAGTGAAAAAATATCTGCATTTATTTGAAAAATAAATATTTTATAGCATTATAAATGTCACTGTTGATCATTTCAATGCATCCTTTCTGCGTAAGTGTAAGTTTCTTTGAAATCTCACTTTTATCAATAAAACCCAACTACGCAAACAGATAAAGTGGACAGTTGCAGAGATCAACATTCCCAGCATACAGCCACACATTAATAGATGTTATAACATTGTTGGGTAAAACTGTTCATTGTGAACTTTTGAATGATAGTGTAGATGATTTTGCCTAATCCTATCCCAACAAGACAGTGCTAAATGCAAATGTAAACAGCATTAAACATGTTTTGACATCCAATCAGTTAAACCACATTCGTAAAAGCTACTCTGGATTGTTTCACATCAACAACTAATGACATGTATCCAAATGACTTGAAATAGGATCCTGACTAAAACGATTCGTTTTTTTGTGTTTTACTGTTCGTAATTGTTTGTTGTCACAAAATCAGAGATCCTTTCTCTTGAAATTCGCTCATAAAAGTGCCGATCTGTCTTGCCCAACCACTTATGTTGAGATCATTGAAGATGAATGTTAACAGGACCTGAATGCTTGTGATTAATGAATCTCTTGTAATAAAATGGTGTGCTTTGCTGTTGTAGATATGATTATGTGGAGGTGGAAGAGCCTGTCGGAGGCGTGGCGTTGGGGCGTTGGTGTGGCTCAGAGATGGTTCCGGGGCCCCAGGTGTCCAAGGGGAACCAGATCCTGATCCGCTTCGTCTCCGATGAATATTTTCCCTCGGACCCAGGATTCTGCATCCGCTACTCTTTGCTTCAGCAGGTATGAAATGACTCATGCACCACGTTTTTCCTTATGCAATTCTTATGCAACATTTACTGAGAGGGCTGGTTGTGTTTTTGCTGAAAACTTTTTGTTAATCCCTAATGGCCCTGTACTATATTATTTCTCCACCTGATGAACTTAAATACACAGTGTGCAAAATATAATTAGATGTTTATGAGAAATACAGTGAGCTTTGCTGAATATCAAAATGTATAAAGTGATACTGTATGTACTTGGGGCCAAAAAATGAAAAAGAAATCCTGAGAACTTAAACATACTCTCATTATTACAATGCATCTGTTGCTGTAATCACCATCCCTTCCTCTGAAATGACCTGGCAACCTTAAATGGCACATACTAAGTTGGAAATTTCAAGTTATAATTATATTCCTACCTCAGAGACCTTCTCCTCAATGTTTCACTTCTTGTGGTGGTGAAAACCACAGCGGGGCGGGCTATGGTGTTTTCCACCTTGGCCATGGTTCAGTTTCCTCCCTTTAATTTACACCCTGACAGGCATCACACGGCACATTTGAAAAGGATCATTCCCCTGAAATGATTTAATAGACATGCTTGGCTTTGATGTGTGATGCCTGTCAAAATTTTATGACTCCACTTTCCCTTGCATTTGTTTACTGAGGCTTCAGAGTGTGTCTGAACGCTTTGCTACGTTGCTTGGAAATTGCTCTCATTGTTTTCCAGTGAACAAAGGTGTGCTTTATCTCTGGGTAGATAATGGCTGTATCTATTCTGCTGAAACTTAATTATTTTAGTGTTGATTGTGGTGAGATAGGCCACCAAAATTAGACAGGACAAATGTGGCTGTGGATTGTTTTCAAAGAAAAGAAAAACATGGGGTTTCCATACGCCATTTCCTTCTGATCTCATCTTTTCTATTAAAAGTGCTGATGCTGATTTGTCAATCTTTTTCTGCATTTCCGTTGATTTGAGAGCCGAACGATGATGTAACTGTGCTACTACATTACCTGCCAACAAAAATATTGCCCATCACTGTCTTTTAGAGTCTTAGGGAGTTTTGAGAACATATTTTAATAATCAGTCACAAAATAATACACTACTGTTCAAACATTTTGGAGTCAGTAAGTTACAATATTACTGTTTTACTGTATTTTGATCAAATAAATGTAGCCTTGATGAGCATAAGATACTTCTTTCAATATCATACTGATCTAAAAAATTTGAACGTTAGTGAAATTATTTGATTTAGAATTGGGACTGTTTAGTTTAGCATGATCAATTTTAGTTTTGCTTCCTCCTTGCAAGACTAAGCTGTTGTCATTTTGAAAACTTTTTTGTGGTCTGGACATTATCCCAACTTCCTAGCCGCTGAGCAGTTCTCTGGTAAGGGCCAGTAAGGAGCCCATTTTTCCGGCCTTTTTCTGCGGTGGAAATGCATGAAATAGTTTTAGTTTATCTCTGGCTCCAAAACTGACAACAATAAAGGACATCAATTTTCCTTTAAGGAGATCTTCTAAACAAATGAAACAAATGGGAAGTTGTGGCCTAATGGTTACAGAGTCAGACTCGTAACCCAAAGGTTGCGGGTTTGATACTCGTACCGGCAGGGATTGTAGATACTTGGCCACATGTCACTTCACTTCACTTCACTTCACTTCACTTCAAATCAGTTGCATGAAAATTGTTCTTTTTAGGGATTTTTCCCTAGATGACATTCATTTTTGGCTTTCAGGTATAAAATGAAGTATGTTTATATGTAGAATGATGTGTAGATGAGTACATTCTCCACTCTTTATACTAGATGGTGTGTTTTTCTTTGAGCGGTGCTCTATTATTGCAGAGGTGGTGTGTTATGGCTGGTTTCTGAACAGCGAGCTCGCATCAGAGAAGGTGTGGCTGAATCAAGCTCTATTTATAGTGTTTGTGGAGGAGGATGTTGAGCTGGAACCTACAATTCCAACACGGCCTCCTCCAGCCCTGACTCACAGTGCACAGTGTTTGTTTTCTTGCTCACCAAAGCATTTGTATTCAGGAGGCCAGGCTTGTGGATGGGAGTTACATCTCGATTGCTGTGCGCCTGTGTGCGTCAAATTGTTTGAATTGTTGTGTTATCATAACATGTCAGGGAGTGTGTGGCAGAAGGTCTTCAATAAACTAAAAATAAGTAATTTGCTCTTTTATGAAACATTGCTTGACTGTCCTGCAAATATTGTTGTTGTTTTGACATTACGTGAGCATATGCATGAAACATTGTTAAATGCCAGGTGAACACAAAAATACAATTTCATAGTATGTCAAACAAAAACTGCACATAGAATCTACCATTTCTAGTGAAGAAATGCCTTTTCTAGCTTCTAAATGCAGAGCCTTTAGTTAGCTTATGTGTTAATCTCCTCTGCCATTAAATTCAGCTTCCCTGGCAGCATGTCTTAATACCTAGTTTAATTTGCACATCCTGCACCACCTACTGTCAACTGAATTGTTTAAAGACAGCAGTGGTGTTAATGACACTAAACTGCAATTTAGCAGGAAATTTCCTTGGATGCCCTGCAAAAAAAAAAAAAAAAAGCTAAATTATGTCTCTGTCACACTTGTTTTTTTGACATGGACGAATTAAAAAATTGTGACCTTCTTTGCTACGTTACCTGCATAGTAACGTAGTAGTAGTAGTGGTAGTAAATGGGAGATATATTTCTTAAGGTTTTAATCCCATCTTTTTGTGTTGCAGTTTAAGCTTTATCACAGGTGGTATGGTGAATTTTCTTTTTTATGAAAAGCATTTTACAAAAAAGTGGGAATTCATTAAAGATGTTTCATTTATCATAATAATGTTGGGTGGAGGAACATTTTTATTAGTTAATACTAGTAAATAAGCACATTTTCAGATAATAGATCAATCATTTGTTTTGGCTTAAGAAAAATATAAGGCAACAACATGTCTGTAATATCATGCTTAGTATTTAATGTATTACACAAAGTATAAAGTATATAGATGCTTATATATTTTAGAAAAGGAGTCATATTTGGTCCTTGACATGTAAGAGATTCAGTATAAGGGAATTTCAGTATACGGAAAAGAGCAGAACATTTCATAAACTATAAACCTGGATGAAATATCAATAAAACCCAACTACGCAAACAGATAAAGTGGACAGTTGCAGAGATCAACATTCCCAGCATGCAGCCACACATTAATAGATGTTATAACATTGTTGGGTAAAACTGTTCATTGTGAAACTGTTAATTCACCTGACTGTTCACAAATCCAGTGCACTTCTCATGAAATGCTTAACAGTGTTCTTATAGTCTATACTGCACCTATGTTTATAGCTCAGTTTATTTTTTCCCACTGTCCACTGATGCTAATCTAAATGATGAGTGCTTCAGATCTTCTGCTTGAAAGTTCCCTATTATGATGCAACTTGGGTAAATGAGTGGCCTAGCTGGCTGGCTGTTGGTTTTGTACACGGTGGCAACGGGCTTGGAACAGCCGAATTCTGTTTCTCTGTGGTCAACCTCAGCTACTGGAAACCCGGGATCACAGGGCGCCCCTGCACTTTCTGTTTAAACAAGCAATCACTCCCCTTCACCACTACCACAGAGAGAAGGGGGAAATTAGCCCCAGCTGTGATTCTCAGGAAGAGACTGCACCCCTGCACTTTCTGTTTAAACAAGCAATCACTCCCCTTCACCACTACCACAGAGAGAAGGGGGAAATTAGCCCCAGCTGTGATTCTCAGGAAGAGACTTTGGGAGCTGGTAAGGTTTTGAGGGAAGAGGTCATTAAAACAGCACCTAGCTCTGGAAATAAGAAAAATTTGGGATTCTCACGAAAGTCAGAGGAACTGGACTGCTGCTTTTAACTCCCAGCTGGATTTCATAGATGTTTTCCTCCTCGAATCAGCCTGAAAATATGCCTTTTGCATGTGCTTACTGATTTCCACTGGATTTGCATAATCTTTACTGCCATTATATTGACCAAAATAGTCTAGAACAAAGGCAAGATATGTTCCTTTCCAAACAGAGTAACAGGTTTCACAGGCACCAAAAGTGGGACATGGTTGCTGAGGCCAAACTAAGTTCAGCACAGGTTTTTTATAAACATTTTAAATTGGAAACAGCTTCTCTTTAAAAGAATGAGGTTAATGTGCAGTGTGAACACAGTATACACTTGTGTGTAAGAACCTTTTGTAGTTGCCACTTGTTTTTAAAGTAATTGTAGATGGCAGTTTTGTTGGCTGGACCTTTCTTCTCAGCAACATTAGTTCAGGACAACCACAAGGATTACTGAATTACATAAGGCGTATCATTTCAAACACAATGTCTATTCAAAATTCAGAGCTAGATGTGTGAAAATTACTCCAGTCACTTAATTTCTTTTCTCCTCTTCCTTCAACCACTGTGTATGATTGGCATGCCACCAAGCTTGGCCTTCACCAAAATACGTCCGCAGTGAATCACCCGCATTTTTGAGTGAGACTCTGCACTGTTATTTGGTTTTCTACAGAGCTGAATGCTCTCATGTGTGTTCTGACGGCTACTGGCAGACATCTGAGTCTGTGCGCTCATGTCCATCTGTTAAGCCATTTTCCTTGTACAACCTGCAAACAATTTGAAACATCATGTTGTCAGGCTTCAGAACATAAATGAGGCCATTATTTTGTGGATAATATTTTACCTTTAATCAATGCATCTGTTAGGAAATATGAGGACATAAGAGGAAGATGTTGGAGGAAAAGCACCTTAAGTGTTACTGTGATTTGCGATGTACTTTATTGGCAGATTATGAATGCAGTGACATCATGCTTAAGAATAATAATTTCTGGTAACACTTTACTCAAAGCCTTTATGTATGATGCATTCTAAAAGTAGTTTTAATGCATTCATTATGCCTTGTAATGCACCTTATGATGCATTGTACAGTCTCATGAATAATTGTACACTGTAAAACCGAACAGTGAAATTAATTAAATTAAATTAGTTAACTTCACTCAAATAATAATGAAAGTTCATTGGACTTAATTGAAATAAGTTCTGTAAATTTAAAATGATGTTGTAGTAAGGTGAACTTAAAATGATTGTGTTTTCTAGTTCCCAGCATGCTTTGCATCAGACAACAAGGAAAATAAATGTAGAAATTAAGTGTTATTTTGTGTGTTTTTACACAAGATTAACATAGAGAGACATAAGTTAGTACTTAAATGTTGTGTTATGTTAGGATTTACATAGGTTTCTGTTATGTTGGTTTTGTAGTGTTACCGTTGTGGTGAAGAGTAGAGCCTGTGGTTAGGTTGAGGATGGACAGCAAAACTTAAAGACTATTTATACTGCATGTTGTTTGACTATTTACATGCAAGTATTGTGAGTCTTTCAGATAACTACATTAATACGTGCTAGTGTGCTGTTACTAGCTAGCACTTAACTATAAAGTTCTGAATGAATGTGCTGTTAATGGAAGCAAGTTGTATATAATTATCATTGTGATGAGTGGGGTGGGACCATGGAAGCGAGGCTTGGCTTGGCTCCCATGGCTCTCAGTCCCGCCCCACTTGTCATAAAACTTTTAAGCTTTACTAACTTAAAAAAATTGAGTTTGTGTACTCAAATATTTTGAGGCAATAAGTTTCCTCAAATGTTTTGAGTATTCTTAACTTACCAGGTTTTACAGTGTAACTACAGTTAATGCATTATAACACTTATCAATTCATTGTTACTCTGTGCATTTTAAATTTGGTTATAATTTTGTTATGACAAGATATATTACAACGCACATTATGAATAATTATAATGCATAATACCCTTTAATAACCCTTTATAATGCATTATACATAAAGGCTTTAAGTAAAGTGTTACCTACTTTCTTCACTCAAAGTACACTTAAAGTACACAGTTGCTTAAAGGTGCAGTAGGAGATCTTGGAAAATGCTAACTTTAGCCTGATAGCACTGAAAGCGAACGTCCCACCCTCCCTGCAATTGCCGTCCAAAGCCACGCCCCCTGAACGCATATACGCTCGTCGCTCACAGACCAGAATACCAGAGACAACATTACTACAATAGGCTACATCAGCGGTTCCCAATTCCAGTCCTCCATCAACATTTATTTTTGTATGTATTTAGGTTTTCTTTTTATGTAGTCATTATTTTTATTTCTTTAATTTTGCACTCAGTAATTGATTTGACGATTTTTTATAAATGCACTCTTTGCAGCCAGACATGATTTAAGTTAATATTTTTTCAGTCTTATTTATAATATAATATATAGTATAATATATAGCATAACATAACAATATAACATAACAACATAACATAACACATAACATAACATAAAAATATAACAATGTGCGAATTCCAAACTGCTTTTTTGCGCACTTCAAGGGCCCTTCGGGAAGGGGACGCCATTTGTAGGGACGTTCCAAACGAAAGTGGGCAATTTAATCCTTTCATGAAGGGCCCTTCCAGAAGTCCGTTAGCAAAGGGAGCATGCGATGGTCACTTCACGGAAGTGATTTCCGTTTGTGTGATCATGTGATCTTCAGTTACTGTATATATATATATATATATATATATATATATATATATAT